TACATCCTTCTTCAGGGTCCAGTCTGTAAGTCTCCCCAGCCTACCAGATCTAGCCTGGGTCCTACATTCAGTGTTCAGGTTTTGTCTGGCCACCTCTACTGTGGTGATTTGAATAAGAAGGGTCCCCACAGGGCTATATATTTGATTCCTTGGTCATTAGGGAGTGGCACTACTTGAAAGGGATTAGGAGATGAGACCTTGTTGAAGGAAGTACATCAATGGGGATGGGTTTTGAAGTTTCAGTAGCCCAAGCCCAGTGGTGCTCTTGTTCTCTCTTCCTGCTGTCTACTGATCCAGATGCAGGACTCTTAGCTACCTTTCCAGCACTATGGCTGTCTGTGTGCCACCATGCTACCTGCCATGATGACAATGGACTGCTGAAGGAAATCCTACAGCCAGTGATCTTTAAGTTACCCACCGACTTGGGTGTGGTCTCTTATACTGCTTATGCCTATGTAAAGCACGCATCCAGTCTCTCTTCTGGTTGTGTGACTCAGTTGTTATTCTCCATTCCAGCAGCAAATTCTGATTTGTGAGTCTACCCTTAAATAAATAACCATCTATTATTCTCAATTCTGAGCTAGTCTGGGATTTCTTTTAAGCATCCTTCTTCATCTGGCTCCCAACGTGGAGCAAGAAACTTCACATGCCTCAACCACTGACAAGGTACATGGTATCTAGAAATGGATAAGCAAGACACAAGGAAAAAGACTGTCAAATCTTGCCAAGACAGGGTTAGATGGTTTTGAAAAATTTCCTGCCTCTGAAAATGGTCTGTTAGTTACGCTAGACCTTAGCCAAAGTTGGTTGCTTCAACATTGCAAATGAGACTTTGGGTGATTGTCCAGGTAGTCTCTTGTCTCTGTCATTTGTCGTATATTTTTGGAAGCTGCTTGATTGCACTTCCTGCTTACTCAAGTAATATTTCCCTTCTCGGATCTTCAATAGGGTTGAAGACTAGATAGTTGCAGTTACTTTCCTCTTATGACTTGGCCAAGTTATTTATTATACAAGACTTAAACTCATTAGAATAGGATAATTATTGAATATATTTGTTCTTATTGTATACCATTTTGTATTAGGCTTAGAACTCTCTTACTTAAACAAGAGGGGGAGGTACTGTAGGAAATCCTACAACCAGTAGCCTTTAAGTTACCCGCTCACTTGGGCATGGCCTCTTATATTATTTATGCCGATGTAAAGCATGCATCCATCCGGTCTCTTTTCCAGCTGCAGGATTCAGTTGCTGTTCTACGTTCCAGCAGAGGATTCTAATTTGTGAGTCTACCCCTAAATAAATAACCATCTGTTAGTCTCAATTCTGAGCCAGTGTGGGATTTCTTTAAAGTGTCTTTCTTCAATGGACTATACCTCTGAAACTGTGAGCCAGCCCCAATTAAAGACTTTCCTTTATAAGTGTTGCTGTGGTCATGGTGTCTCTTCATAGCAATAGAACACTAAGACAATTACCTAAGTTGCTACCAACCTCTAGGCTTCTTCTAGAACCTCCCTATCCACCCCTAATCCATAGGTCCCTTTTATGCCATATCCAACTTTTCCACCCAGCTAGATACACCCCACACTCCAGGGTTAGAGCAGGAGGCACATCCTGTAGGCCAGCCCAATCCCTTCTGTCCACCTGACTTCATTACACTTAAGCCATTTTCAACTTCTAGACTCACCCTACCTACACATTCTCTCTTCTAACCCAACCTGCTCTATCCATAGCAGACTTAGAACTACCAAAAGCAGTCCATATGCCCAGATCTCACTGCAAATATAATGGATCAAGTCAGTGTCTTCTCTCCCAAACCTACCAGTCCTATAGAAATGTTTGTCAATGTGAATTAAAGACTTTAAAGATGACACAAGAAACTGCTCAATAAAATTAAGGAAAAAGAGCTTGAGAATAAACACCTAATGACAACCAAGAAAACACAAACATAAGACTGATGGCAATGATGAAAAACTATGACTTGAGAAAGGAATTTAATAGGAGACAGAAACATATAAGGACTCAAAATGAAAAGTACCACAGACTATCTATGGATGTCAGGGGTCTGGGCCCCAGTCTGTGACTATGTTGATGTCTGAAGGTCATGTCACCACCAGGGTCATGATGATCTGGGTGCTTGTGTTGCCACATGGGACCTTGGTATCATCCAAGCCCAGGCTGCTGCAGTGGGTCATGTCTGGGTCTATGGTCCAGCAGTAGCCAGGATCTGGGTTGATGTCCAGAGACTAAGTGGATGCCCAAGGGTCTGGACAACTACCTGATACCACGTTGGTGTCCAAGGGTCTTGCTGCCTCCAAGGCCATACTTATCTAAGTGGCCTGTGATGCCACCAGAACCATGGTGATGTCGAGGTCCAGGCTGTTATTGAGGGCATTTCTGGGTCTATGCCCCTGCTACAGCTGGGGTCTGTGACGATGTCCATGGCTAATGTTACAACAGAGGTTAATAGTAACTATGTGAGTTGAAATCCCAGGGCTGTGCTGAGCAGACCCCGCCCCTCACTGTCCCTGGGATAGCTGGTCCTTGTTCTCGTTAGACACTACATCAGGAGAGCTGCCCCCCTACCAACTCTTGAGAGAGATAGCCTCACCCCTCACCATGGACATGGGAAAGACCCCATTGGCATGGGCCTAGGAGAGCTAGCTATGCCCCTTGCTTGAGGGGATAGTACCAGTGATCCTGAACAACCAGCTCAGCTACCACCCAGACCCACATCCTGGGCCTCTGGTTGGCCCACCTTAACATCTACCCCATCTGTGGAGTGTGTGAAGGGACTCAGGGAAAGGAACTCAAGGCAACAACAGGATATATTAGAGGAGTTCCAGTGAGGGTCTAGTAATGATGGTCTCCAGAGGCCCTGAACCAGACCAATAAGTCATTGTAAAACACATTGTATGTGTGTGGGGGGGGGCTGACTGGACAAAAGAGTATACTGAATGACACACTAAAACACCCATTGCCACAAGGATGAATGAAGAAGTGCTGGGTGAGGTGGGTTTTGTTTGTTTGTTTGTTTTATTTTTAATTAGTTTTGAAGGGCATGCTGCAGAGGTTGTGGGGTGGATATGGAGGGAGTAGGAGGTGAGCTGGTTTGGGGTGCATGATGTGAAATTCCCAAAGAATACATAAAGAATTATGTTTAAAACAAAACAAAACAAAACAAAAACCTCACTACCAAGTAGAAGAAGTCCCATTTTGTACTGTCAGTCAAGGTTGTTGAAGAGACGACCAAAACATTATAGACTATTGCTGTTGTCCTTGTTTGCCCCCTCTCCAGGGAGAAGATATGTCCCTATTGCTGAAGACACCATGTACTTCCAGTAGACTTGGGGTTCAAAGGCCCCTTAGTTGGAAATGACTTAAATGTTTCCTCTCTTAGGAAGCAACTAACAGCTTTACCCAGCTATAACACCTAAGAACCATAACCAGCATGGCACAGTAACCCTAAGGGTGCAGTAGTAGCAAGCATACATTGGTGATAACTAATAGGTCTCTAAACTGGTTAAGACCCGCTCACCAAGAGGGAAGTTATGGCTGACACTAGAAACCTACCCCACTACCCAGAGCCAGTGCAGTCATGGCTCTTGGAGGAGAACCTTTAACAAACCTACAATTTAGGTATAAGATTTTTTTTTTAAAAAAAGGCAGATAGTTCATAGTATGATTAATAAACCAGCACAATCCCTAACTACACTCTAAATATTTGTCCTTGTACCTACAGATAAATGCAGTCCTAAATCAAGAAAACTTCTCTTTGCAACAGACAGAGATCATTACAGAAAATCACAACCAATTACAAGGAAGAGTTATGGAGTCCAGTCCTAATGAATTTATCTACAAAACAACTACCACACATAAGGCTCAAGAAACATTTCAGAAGAAAGGGTGGAAGAATTGTAAGATCCTGAGGATCAGGAATCTCACTGTGAAAACTACAGCTCCTAGTAATATCAGAGTTATGTTCATAAAGCTTCACCAACATGACTGAGCTAAACAAGGAAGACAACAACATACATATCAAAGTGGATGAGAGAAAAGACCACTTTACCTCAACTCTCCACAAAGAACTACAGGCAACTAAAGGATGCTGGAAAAGGGAGAAAGAGTCTACTTCAGAGAAGAGCATATCAGTTGGTTCAGTCCTGAGAACACACATACAAGTAAAATTAAACAGACTGAACAGTTTTTATTTAGTGTGTACACACAAACACACATATTAAAAAATAATGGAGTGTTTAGAAGGAAAGGGAAGGAGTTGAAATGATGTAATTATATTATATTATAATCACAAAATAACAAAACTGAATAGTAGCCAGATCAGGAAAAAAATTTAATTAAAACGCAACAAACCAAACCAAAAAAAAAAAAAACTTAAAGGGAAATAAGCAGAAAGATTCTAAAGGAATACAACAATTTTACCATTTCTTCTTAGATAGTTACAACAACAAATATTATATTGGTGAAAAATTTTAAATCCAGTATGTGGGGGCTGGAGTAGCTCAGCTGGGAGACTACTGGTCTAGTATTCATGAAGTCCTAAGAAGAATCCCCATCCTGTACCACATAAACTGGGTGTGGTGGTGCACACCTGTAATCACTTAGGAGGAGGTGAGAGGACCAGAACTTCAAGGTCAGCCTGAGATACATGAGACTGTGCCTTTTAAAAAATAATAAAAAAGAAAAGAAAGAAAGAGATGGAAGGAGAGAGAACGAGAAGGAGAGAGGAAGAGGAAAAGCCAGTATGTGATTATACTCCAGTGATGGTGTTAAAGTTTACTTTGATACTTTCCAAAATTAATATCTAGACATTTATCATTAATGTTGGAAAAAATTTAAGTCTTAATATCATTTTAAAAGTGACATGAGGCCCCATCTGATTAATCAATAAACTCTAAATAAGAAATTGCAATACCTAAAAGAGGCCCAGCAAAACCCCAGATCCAAGTGAAGTATGAAAGAATAGCTGACACTAAAAAAGTTTTACCTTGCCCAGAGCGGCTTTGGCGAGAATCTACACTCGACTGTCTTCGATCCGGTGGTTCCTCGCTTCCTCCATCTGCATTAAGTAAAAAACAGCATGAAGAGATAATGAGCTTGGCCTAACTCGGGTAAAATCTGTATCAAAAAGTACTATGCTTATCATTTATTTTCATTTCTTACAAGTCGGATCATAAAACATTTGAGGATTTCCTTATGTAAACCAATTGCTCTTGTCCTTATTTTTGTAGGGAGGGACTTACAAAAGCTCAATGGAAGTAGAAGTGCTTTGTCCCTCCACCATACAAACACATGAAGGAATGAGGGAATTTTATTGATTCTGAAATTCATTCGCAGCATTATAGCTTAGAAGACCCAACCAAAAACAATGCCTAAATGATATACAATTGTTGCCTAAAATACATCAAATAATTTCAAGGACTGTATATATCTCTTTCTAAAATTTTTCAAAAAGCTACAACAAATTTACATTCATAAATAATTCCACTTTGTTTTATATATATATATCATCATAAATAACGCACAAAATAAAATTAATAGGTTAGGAATTCCATAAAGCATATACAAAATTAAAACAAAACAAACAGCCTAAAATCTACACTTGGTTGCACATGTCTATACTCCCAGGACTCAGGAGGCTGGTGCAGAGGGGATGTAGAGAGATTAATTGCTTCAGGTCAACCTGAACATAGAGTACCAGGTCAGCCTGAGTTAAATAGCAAACAAATAAATCAGACTAAGTAAAGTTAAACCTACAACTTCTTCTCACTTTGATCAAATGTAAAATGTACTAAAGATTCAGCAGCTTACTTTACTTTATGCAATCACTTACTTCTAACTTAACAGGAACAAGAAGTAACAAGTATAAGCAGGTTCTAAAAGCATTACTCTTTTTGTTTGTTACACGTGTGCTCTAGGGATAAATTCAGGTCTTTGTGCTTGTAAAGCAAGTACATCTTACTGACTGAACTATCTCCCCAGTCTTGCTTTAACTTATTCTCAGCCAAATAAAATTAAAATAATCAAGGCTGGGTTTAAAATGCTCTTCTCATCTAGTCTATCCTTTCATGAATGTTTCCCTAGCTTAGGTCTCTTCACTGAGCTTTAGCCCCCACATAACTGATGCTGTCCCTCCCTTCTCTACCTGGAGCACTGCCAGCCATCTAAAACACCACACAGAACCACACCCTGAAGCTCTTCCCACATTTCCTCATGTTCCTCTTTGACCAAGTGCTAACACCAGCTATAGCTAGGTAGACCAGAACTGAGAGTCACCATGGCCTTTCCTTCTGCCTTACCCTTCAAATTGAATATACACCCTCAATTTGTTTTTACTACACTATTTTCATCTGAATCATTATCATAACACTCTTCGGTTATTGCAAACTCTTCCTTACTGGTCTGTCTGCCATTTGGACCTGCACCTGGTGCAGTGTTCCCAAAATGATTTCTTATCTGAACTTCATGTTCTCTACTCTCCATCCTAACTGAAAAGTTTAACATGTGTTCATGTCTGCCTCTTATTGTAAGATGCAATATTGCCATAGCCAGGCATGGTGGCACAAGCCTTTAATCACAGTATTCAGGAGGCAGAGGCACAAGGATCTGAGTTTGAGGCCATCCTGGTCTACAGGAGAGTCAGGGATATATAGAGAAACCTTGTCTCAAAAAAATTTTAAAACCCCTGAAAACGAAAAACAAGAGTAATACTGTTTATGCTGACCACAAGGCCCTCTCCATTCAGCTTTATCCGCATCATGCTCTGCAGTGCTCTCTTCACTCCGGCCCCTGGTTTTCTTTAGATCATCTAACCATTCTTCCTCTCACCAATCACCCTGGCCCAGAATGTTCTTTCTCTTGTAAACCTCTCCGGTCTACTGTACATTATTCAGGGCTATTTTCCTTGACATCTTTGAGCAGGGCAAATCTTTTTACCACATGACCCGGGCAGGTCTCCTTTAAGGAAGACAACTATAATCTTAAAAAGCATTACTTTTGTTCAGTCATCTATTTATTTCCTTCTCTCTTCAACAGCTTGTCTTAACATTTACCTTTTTAAATACATGGCCTATTTTTAAATTTTTTATAGAAATAAAGTTTTTTAAGAGTATATTTACCCTACATAAGACTTAATGGTAATTAAATTCATATACATCAAGCACAATGATCAATTTTTGTTCTTTTGCAGAGGACTTATCTAGTAGGTACCATGAGGATCAGCATCATTTAATTGACTTTATAAATATAGTTAATTGTAAATATAAAAATAGGCAGGAAATATTCATATCTCAGTAAATTACGAATCTAGCAACTTAATAAAGCATTCTACTGTTAGTAAGGTTTTAAAATAATTCAGCAAATCAAAAAAACTTCAATAAAAATCTGTATTTTGTCAATGTGCGAATATTTTTAAAATTAAAGCAATTTCAGGTATTTCTTTGGTTTTTCCCTATTATATAAGTTATACCTGAAAGACCTGATAAATGTGCTAAGAAAACAAAATGTTACTTGAAATACAAAGTTAAAAATCTTTTCTTTCTATGTTGACTCCCCAAGGATGGCCTTACCCTTTCTGAGGAGTGGATGGGGGCATAGAAAGGAAGCAATGGAGGGGATGGGAGGAGAGGAGGAAGGGGAAACTGATTGGTATGTAAAATAAATTTAAAAATTTAAAATAAAAATAACAGAAGAAGAACAAAAAAGACCCTATATCAATTAATCAATAAAATTGAGAGGAGAAAAAGAAAAAGGATCTTTCCTTTAACATAATAGGTCAAAAAATTTAAAGCAGAAAGGTCCCTGTACATTATTTTTCCAGAATGAGTTTTCTTGGTTGAAATTAAAACTCAAATTCTTCTGGGAGCAGTTATATAGGTAGCAAATAGGTGAAAGACAACAATGGTTCTTCCCAGCTTTAGGCCTTGTATGTTACAGTACCCACTTGCTAGGCAAAAGGTGCTTACCACTGCAGTAACGGCCCAACCATTATGGGAGTAACCAGACAATTTCTGACTGGCTCTGAGACCCACTCTGAAAGAGCGAGCTCATGTGTTGATGTGATTAAACACCCATGGCTGGATAAGTCCTAGGCATTGGGGGAAAATTACAGCTATTTTTTGTTCAATGAACATATTTGACAACCTCTTCAATATTTATGTTTATGTTCATATGTTCATTATGCTGTCCTCAGTCTTAATCAAAGAAGTTTCTCTTTACAGCAAACAGTACTTAAAGCAGATTAAGGGATTAAAACGGAGTGATTGTTGCATGCTCAGTATTGAATAGGCACCCATGTGCTGTGGGACAATGGTCTTTTATCCTGCCACTTGTATTATTTTTAATAAGTGCTGATTGGCCAGTAGCCAGGCAGGAAGTAAAGGCGAAGCAATGAGAACAGGAGAATTCTGGGAAGAGGAAAGAAGCAATCTGCAGCTGTCACCCAGACAGGAAGCAAGATGAGAATGTCTCACTGCTAAAAAGTACCAAGCCACGTGGCTAACACAGACAAGAATAATGGGCTAATATAGGATGTAAGAAAGAGTTAAGAAGCCTGAGCTAATAGGCCAATCAGTTTATGATTAATGTAGGCCTTTGTGTGTTTCTTTGGAACTGAATAATTCTGGGACCTGGCAGGACAGAACCTGGGTCAACACATGTGCAAAGTCCAGAAAACAGAAAGAGGGGGCAGAAAACATACAGGAGCCAAACAACAAAGAGGGCCAGAAACACTCTCCTAAAGGCATGACACAAAGGTATTATGAACTCCTCACAGTTGGTGCTGTGTAAGACTGCATGAAGACTGAGACAGGAAAACATGTCAGCCATAGAGAGCAGAGGGCACATGGGTTCCCACATTATTCAGGAAACTAAAAGCAGTCAAGGGTTGCTGGATGTGAGGAAGGCACTGTCTTCAGTGATGTGGCCCTTGGTTAGTTATTCATGCTCCAGGGAAACAGTCTCATGTCCACTTCCCTCATGAGTGACTCTCATTAAATCAGTGGTAACAAAGCAAAATGAAAACAAAACAAAAAAATAAAAGTGGCATGGGGGCTTGGTGGGAAAAAGATGAGATACTGATGGGGATGGGGAGAAGATACGAGATGACGAAGAGATGAATATGTTATAAACATGTATGAATTGTCAAAAGATAAACTAATTTAAAAACTAAAGAGAAACTAAAAATTCTAATTGTTTTAAGAAAATGTTCATGTTTATAGCCTTTTAACTCTATATTCCAAGTAAACAATTTTATAGATTCTTTTTATAAGGCTTGATATTTTATTTTATATATTTTGGATTTTTGAGACTGGGTTTTTTGATTAGCCCTGGCTGTCCTGAATTCACTTTGTAGACCAAGCTGGCCTGAAACTCAGAGATCTGCCTGCCTCTGAATGCTGCGATTAAAGGATATGCCACCACACCTGACAAAGCTGAATATTTTCACTGACCAACTCAAAGTTAGAATTTGTTGTTATTGTTTTTAACCCTCTAGGAATTATTCCAATACAAAGTTCATGAATTAATATCCAACATGCCCCCAAAATTTTACAGACTTCTAACTTGTATTTTTCTTTTTAATAGTGAAACAATGGCTAAGTAGGTAAGGTACTTGTTGCACCAGAACGAGGACCTGAATCCTCAGAACCCATATAAAAGTTTGGTATATGCCTATTAATTGTAGCACTGACTGGGCAGAGGCATGCCAACCCTGAGGGCTCAGTCACCAGCCAGCCTAGTTAAAACAGTGAGGTTCCAGTTAAACTGGACACCTTGTTGGAAAAAAAAAAAGGTGGAAAAACAAGGAAGATATCTTAATGTTTGGCCTCCTCACATGCTTAGATGAGTGTTCACAAGTATGTGTGTGTGAATGAGCAGACATCTGTGCACCTGTGTACACTCTTCTGAAAGCAACAACCTAAAAGAGTCATTAATTCACTGAAAAAAAACTAGTGAAGTTGAAAGTATTTCACTGGCTATCTGGTGGTTGTGTAATCTTGTTTATATCCCATTTTTGTTATTTTGTGCATGGGAGGCAGGGAGGTAGGATACTGGAATTAC